AATAAAAACACATTTTTAAATAAATGTTCACTTAACTATAATGGAATTTTATTTTGATAATTCTTAAGTAATTCGGTAGAAAATAAATTAGAAACTTATGTTGTTTAGTTATTTACTTATTTCGTTATGAGTGGAGATGGCTTGTCTGTTTCAAATTCTAAGTATAAATGTATAATATATTATGATATAAAATTAATTATAATTTTAAAGTAAGYTATGAGAATTGTAATAAAGTAAATTTTTTGTACTTTTTAAAATGACCATAACTCGTTATAAAATTGAAATATAAACAAAACCTCTACTTGATAATTTTGTGGTATATCAATTCAATCTAAAATTAAACATGGCAGAGGTAATTCAATTATTCAGAACATAAAATTAGCGATGTTATGCGTTTATTAGACGGAGACGATGTGTTCATTTTATACACACAGTCAAATTTTCAAAAATTATTTTTGGTTTTAGAGGTACCTACTTATTATAGATAAATATCATTAAAATATTTTCGATTAAGTCAACAAGTTTAAAAATGTAAGACAATTTATTGTACCCCCTATATATTATATATAGGTATAGTAAATTAAATAATTAACACAACAACATTAAAATATTTTATTTTATTTTTTATTTTTTATTTTTAATATTAAAATATTTTATTATTTTAGCGTTAAGTTAATAATATTATTTCTAAAGAATATTATTTACGTTTGGATGTCCAATTTTGTCAAGACTATAATTTCAAATATGAAAAAAAAAATGTGAGACCGATAAGTACATTGCTGGATAGTATATAAGCTCGAAATTTAAAATATTGACTATTTTGAGCACAATTATACAATGTTATTGTTGATACGATAATATTATATTTATAATTTGTAGTTATTATTTTTATACAATCTAAAATCGTTTAAACTGTTTCAAGTCCTGAAAACTTATGCAAATTCCTCATTTCCTCATAATAAGAATAGTAATAATCAATCATATTTATAAAAAAGATTACTTGATATTTTTAACAGTCATATCTATAATAATTAGTAGGGCAGAGGACTTGTAGCATTTGCATATTTTTTTTGCACAGTCACAAAAATAGCAGAGTGCGAAACAAATGCGTTTCATGCTACCACAAAACTARTTTTGAAATTCTATTGTGCATATAAATGCATATTTTGCTTTTTTTTTGTTTTTAGGGCATATTTTGCTTTTTTTTGGTTTTAGGGCAAATTTTTTCCATTTTATACTTTTAGATGCATATTTTAAATAATTTATAGGTTTACCAATATTTTTTCTTYGACGTTTTTATTTATTTATTTATTCATCCAAAATAACGTTGATATTATCGACCATATTTCTCGARATTTGCCGAACTAATGCCGCAATTTGTCGGGTTATTAATTTTCTTTAATTTTCTCCTAAGTCCTAACCCAAATAATTCAAATAATTAAATGTAAGTTGTTAAATAAAGTTGTAAATAACATTTTATCATAAAAATAATAAGTACCAACAGAAAAATTCTTAATTTTATTCAAAAATATCCACTTTAAAATGCATATTTTTTATACTTAAGTGCATATTTTTAATGCATATTTTGTATATTTAAATGCATATTTGGTGACTTTTTAGAGCTACAAGTCCTCTGCCCTAATAATTAGTAACTACTTTATAACTTAGTTAAGCAGCTCGCAAGGCGGTTGATGCTATGATTTATAATTCTTTTATACTTTTAAAATTTGATATACCTTTGAAAATGTAATAACTAATAACATTGGTATGAAGTATAATCTAGGTATATATAATTACATTATTACAGGTTGATAAAAAAATTATTGATATACATATTTAATATGATTATGGGTTTACATCGTAATAATTATTTTCTATTATTCGTCAATATAGGTATATAGTAGGTACCTACTCTGTAACGAATCTAGGAAAAAAAAGCCCCAATATCAAAATACGGTAAAGAAAGCCACAATGTACACATTTTTATCATAGTGTACATTTTATAATTTAAAATTTTTAAACAATATAGGTATCTTTACTACCTATATTTTATACCTATTTTTACTTAACACTATTATTTAACAATATTATTTTTAAACAATATACCTATACCTAATATAATTATGTGACACTTTTTGCCAACGACGCACGTCAAATTTTTTCAAGTGCAATATTAAATGTTCCGGAGAGTGTATTAGCCGAATTACCAAGGGAAGATAATTTAAAAAGAACTTTTCGAAATCATAGAGGGTATAAAAATCCACCAAAACCGAGATGTCTGTCAGAAATAATTGTTGAAGGTAAATTAAAATTTTATAATATATGTTATAATATGATATTATATGAGTATTTTTAAATTTCAATATCTTACATACTCACATCTCGGTTAAAAATAACAATATTGTAAAATATATTAATTTGTATCACGAGTAACAAAGCTATAAAAAATGTACCTAAATTTCTATCTGTAACAATGTTACTCACTCATACATTATTAAAATATAAATTGATTTTTAAAACATATTGGTATACTTATTTAATTTAAAATTTAATAGGTGAATATAAAGAATATGGTCAAGAAAGATTTTTACTCTATGATAAATTGATAACGGCCCAAATACTAAATTATTTTATTGCAACTATACTTGTATATTTTATAAGTATTATAACATATTAAGAAATGTAATTTAACTCTTAATATTAATCTATAATATTATATGTTTTGATTTATGGTTTATATTTTATGATTTTTTAACTATTTTTTATACTAGATTTAATTTCTTTATAGTTACCTTTTAATACAATAAATATATTACCTACTATAATAAATTAGATACATAATACTATGGTAAAATAATTTAATAATTAGTGAAAAACAATAAATATTAAACATATTGATAAAAAACTAGTATTTTATTATATTATATTTATGGTTATAGAGTTCAAGAAGACGTGTTAAATAAAAATAGGTATAAAATATAGCTATTATAGGTACCTATTTTGTTTAAAAATTAAAAATTAAAAATTATAAAATGTACTGTGTACACTATGATAGAAATGTGTTATGAATTTAGTTGCTGCTTTTTTTCCTATAGCCGGGGATTTTTTTTTTATCGTATTTTGATATTGGGGCTTTTTTTTCCGGGGCTTTTTTTTCCGATTACCTCTGTAACTATACTCGTATTCGTTCACCTTCATTTAAGAAAATAATCAATTATATTGATGTGTAAGTGTTACGAAAAATAATTGATATATTATCATCGTTCTAATTTTCTGAGTTAAGTATACTTCCATAGAATCATGTATACAATTTAGGCCCACATTTAAGCTATGACCTGCAGAGAGATCACGGTTGGAACATATGGGGCCGTATTTGTTTATGAGTTTTTGTTGTTTTTAAATAAAATATAAAACATTATAAATTGTTATCTATACTTATTATATTGTATAACATTTAACTTAAATGAGTTACAAATTAAGATTTAATTTGGATAACTAATAACTTTATACTTTTTAAAGTATACCTACTTCTTTCAACTTAACTTACTTGATTAAAAATTATCATTAGCACAAGCTTGCTACACAGATACTGATTATTTTCTTATTCAGCGTTTTTATAAGTTATAACACAGAAGACATATATACCTGTATTTAATGATTTTTTTATGGGGGAGATAATGTTGAATTAATACACAACTAATAAAAGAGGGATCAAAACAAAAAAATCAGTTTCGTTTTATTAATATTAAATTTATAAGAAGAATTTCAGATGCTTATAAATAGCTCAAAGAGAGTTAAAAATGTTAAAATAAATATTTGTAGAAAATTCGAAGTATATACGAATATTTGTTTTGAATAAATTAATAAAAAATAAGATAATGGTTCCATGAGAAATTAGTTAGTTTACGGGTTATTCAATGTGAAAAAATATGTAATTCAAATGCTTGTAAAAATGAATGTCTCTTTAGTAAAATGTTTTCCTTTTTGAAAGGCAGAAAAATTTATAAAAAATCTTGTTTTAAATTTTTAAATCTTATATATAAAAAGGAAAATTCATATGTATTTCTAATTACAAAATGATTTGCAAATTTACGTGATTTTGATAAATTTTGTCAAAATCTAACTTTCAACGCTTATAAAATTTATCGAAACAATTGAATATCGATAGGTACTTACTCGTATTTATTAAATGCCATCTACACGAAAAACATATCATAAGGAATCTTGTATTAAATATTCAAGAATTTTAACCTTGCATAACATTTTTCATCGACATTTATAGAAAATAAATTTAAAAGTTAAAATGCTAAAATTCTTTTGAAATTTTTCATTAGATATGCTATTAAACATATTAATGAGATACTTATACATTTTAAGTATTGCGTACGGTTTTTCGTTTTAAAGTTACATTTTTTTGTCGGTGCTTTTTAGAATTACTATGAATTTTTATTTTTGAATTCTCTAATGAAATAACTAGTTTCAGTTGATCACTAACAAAGACACTGTGCAATGCTAACCAAGTTGAAAAATAAAAATAAAAGGGGTCACTATACTGCAGTATAGGTAGGCTATAGGCTACAAATGGCTACGATACTTGGTAGCTCAGTAACCGTAGCTAATACCTTGATACTTATTATAGCTGTAAATATATCAACAATTATATCTTGTCGAATTGTAGACCGACATGTACGGGCCTGTCGAACGAAAATAATATGTATCTAATATAAAAATATAAAAAAAAATAACATTATTGTATAGTCTGTGGACTGAATCTGTACCTATGTAGTATGCCAAAGATCAAGCCCCTTTCCGGAGTTCGAAATTCTAGATGTACGTTTATTATTCCTCCATGGTACCACCTCCAAGTATACGTATTATTATTATTTATCAGCCGAAAACAAAAGAATCATTCCGCCGTTGGAGGCGCTTCGTGTGGCCGGCGGCCCAAGAACATGTGCATTCCACAGGTGGGGCAGAGTTCGTTACGTATACGATACGCGTTACTCACTACAACAACAACAACAACAACGACGCTATTGTCACACTGCCGTCTGCCTGCTGCCGACACGACGTTCGCAATACTCGTCAGTTATTCGATCGTCAGCGCCCGTTGGCCGAGCGGTATCCATTTTTTATTTACGCCTTTACTTCGGTAAACGTTTGTTTTTTTTCAAAAGTATTTTTCTCTTTCGGTCGGCGTTCGATTAACGCCGTTCAGTCGCGGCATTTTATTCCGTCCTGTTCGGCCGCCCGTGCGCGGAGAATTAACGGGCTTTTCCCAAGATGAAGAATGTCTACAGCGTTCTCGTTGTGTTGTGCATCAACCTCGGTGAGTATCACTTACAATACATATCAACAATGATAACTGCTGTGGAGTTTTACGAAAGGTCCGAATGGACTTTCTTGTTGACCTACTCGGGTCAGATGGTCTCACGATTGACTACAGTCCGGGCGTTAACGCGTTTTTTTTTGTCCTGGTCGAATCGGGGAGTGGCCCTCCTGTCGATATGATAATTAATATGTTATGAAATTAGAACGGCGTGATCTATCGACCGATTTTGGCGATTTTAATAAGTGACAGTCAGCATTGATATTCTTGTATCTATTGGGTACAATTATATTTCAAAGTTTTTATATTATCTAGACTTAACAGTATAACATATTGCGTGTCCATTAAATTTAGTGTGGTACTCCAACGATGACATATATCTGTAGTCATTATAATTTAATTTATAGTCGTGCGCTCCAAGCATTTTTGTTTTTAAATTTTGGTAGTACGAAGCTGTTCTAAACGTATTGCATATAGAAAAAACTTTATTATCACAATCTCGGGATTAATAGTATCTACTTAAATTCTATGCTACTTAATTTCAATTTCTTTTTCACTATTGAAGCATAATATTTGTACTATTTTTTAAATGTAAATTAACTATCTATAAAAAGTGTATTTCTGTTCAGTTTTCGATTTTGGTACAAGCATACATTTGTCGGTACTTTTCTGTTATCCCTACTACCGCTCGATGCCGCGACTACCGCTTGACGTTTTATTGATAATTTTGATGACTTTTTGTTTTATATTATAATAACTTTCCACTGCTGTGATAATTTTAGAATTTGTAATTTGACGTTTTGTGATAATATTGATGATTTTATGTTTTATATACGATTTAAGTTAGTACTATTTTAAATCGTGGTTTTATACTATAACTCTTCACTACTGTGATAATTTATGTGATTGCTAATAAAAAACGTTATACTAATATACATTATTACATAAATTGCAATTCATGATGTGTATTATGTATTAAAATACGGAACTATCTGGAATTCTGGATAGTAATATAGTAGTTGAAATAACAGAATTGAGTAGTCGCGGTAGTAGGGATAACAGAAAAGTACCCATTTGTCAACCTTATTAATACATTTATATAATTCCCTCGTTCAATGATAAATTTTATGGTAATCTACAAAATAATTAAATTTAGTAATAATTTCAATCAAATAATTATTGATTATTTGTTTAGTATGTGATCTATCTAGGTACCATTTTGATAATTAATTTAAAACAGTCAAATTAAAATTATGTTATTTTTCTCTGTATTTTACTACTATTAATTTGTTACCTAGAAATATAAATATAAAATAATAGGTACAAGATTACATTTAACAATGTCAAAATAAGTCAAACAAAATATCAGTAAAAAAATTATAAATATGTATCGCATACAGGGGTGTTCCCATAGGGTATGCTACATTACGCCGTATACTCTCAAGAATTTTTTTCAATATTATGGGTATACTGCGTATGCTATCAATCATAATCGATATTATACCATTATTATACAATATTTATAAAGATTGACGAAATATACATAATATTATAGGAATGTATAAAAAATTTGGTTAAACATTTTTTCCATATCATTGACACACTCTTTACTGGCTTTAATTCTATAAACCATAAGAAAAATATTTTTACTGTATTAAATATTTATATTTGATGGTAATATAGTATACTCTCAAAAAAATTAATGGGAACACTTCTGATCGCATACATGTTGTAGCAATACTGATATCAGTGTAGGTCAAAAATTGTTATCAACTTAACATTTTGGTATTACTTAAATACTTTAAAAAAAATGTATCTCACTTGTTAATAGATCAGTAGTACCTATATGTTTCCCGTGCATAATATAGACAATTGTCTTAATAGTTAACATAGTACACAAACACCATAAATTAGTAATTAAGTATTTTCTTTTAGAAAAGTATTCACCTATACAATGGGTATTAAATCTATCTTAGAACTGTATAAATAAGTGTATTAGAAAAATAACCACACAGCACTTAGGTATAATGATTATATTGATATAATGAAAACATAATAATTTTTTCCCTTTAAGTATTTATATGTTAAATATTAATKATTGAAATAGATATGCTTTTTTCAAAGCTAGAGTTATGGAATGATAGGTAATTTATAATTTATTTGGTTTAAGAATACAAAGATTTTTAATAAAAAAAACATACCTACTTCTAATATTCTAACTATTGATAACAATATTGTAAAAATTATTTCAACTTAATTTATATATTTATAAATGTAGCACAACTGTAATTGTATATATTATTTAATCAAATTGTCTAGAACATTTTTTTAATATAGAATATCTTATTAATATCCTATTATCTTGTACCTTCATCATAGAACAAAAAATTTCAAGTTTACGTCTGAGTATAATAGTACCTACTTTTAATATGCCTACATATATTGCAACATTTTGGGTAAAATGCATAAATATCAGAATTGTAATTGCTAATTTTAAGCAATCTTATTTGTAATTTTAGTAGTAAAAAAATTTTACAATTTAAATAATTAAAAATTGTTCTTTTAAGTTTTAGTATAGATTAGTACTTAACAGATTTTCATAATATATATTTTATTCAAATTGAAGAAATCAAAGTTATGATGATTATATTTCTTTTCAAAAATAATTTAATTGTTGACTTATATGAAGATACATTATTAGTAGCCAATTTTATTAAAGAAACGCTTTTTGGTAGGTTGTGCAATGATACGTTTATTATAGTATGTGGGTACATACAGATCATCCTCTCTAAATAGCAATTTTCCTCAGTTGAATAATATTCATATTATACCCATACGGCCATACATAAATCACTTAACAAATAAATTGTTCATTAGTAAGTGATATAATCATTAGCATTGATTATCATCTATAAATACTATATATTTACCCTTGATTTATCATTGTGGTACGAAAAAATGTTATGCTGAATTTACTAGTGATCCTAGTGTTTTTATCTAKAACTAACTAGGTTACAATGGTGAAATTGAATAACCAGAAAAGCTGATAAAGGATTGTAATTTTCATTGTATAGGTATATGCAATTCTCCATTAATAAGTAATCTCTTGGATAGACAAAATGTTTTCAAAATATAATAATATCAAATAATACTGAAGTAGAAGGTGTTCTTAAAATTGATACAACTGGACACTATTCAATTATTTCAAAAAATCCACACGTAAAATATCAAAAACAAGTAGGTAATAATACTATCTATTTATTGTATACATTTTCCATTTTTCAAATAAGTAAATTGAAATATATACTTTTAAAAGTATCTTATGTTTTCAAGAAACCACTGAAGAACCATATGCATTACTATTTGATGACTTTTACATAAAATCTGCTGATTTGAATGAAGTATCTATTAGAGATAGTAAATAATTTTAAAGATGAGTTTGCAGCAGGTTTTGATAAATAAGTTAATACACTTTTAAAAAAACATTGAGCCATCCAAGTTAACAAATTGTTAAACTTTTTTTATATAAAAACTAAAAAGGGAACAAAAAAGTAATATTATGGACTGATTTTAATGATCTATACTTTTTTTAAACATAAAAATTGTTAAATTCAGGACAATAATAAGTAACTGATTTCTAGAGTAAATTGGTAAAATATAGCAATGTACAACCTTAATTTATTACATTTAGTTAAAATCAACATAATATAGCCTATTTTGTAGTGAAAGCTTAATATAAAAATATCTTTACCCCCTTAAAAAATAACCTATCCATGTAGAAATGTTTGGGGCAATTGACACGAAAAATATGATTGTGATGCCATTGTTCTCAGATCTTGAAGGTTTAGCAGTAGGTATACAAATAAAAAATTAAATCTATAGTTCGTCTTGTAAGTCTTATAAGTAAAACTAAGCTAAACAATTTTTTATGATTCACTTGGATGATTTTTATTGGTAATTAAACAACCAATGATTCAAATATTTGTATTATTTTAGAATGACATATATATAATATAATAATAATATTATATACCTATTATATATTAAATGTTAATTTTTTTAAATTTTATTGAGGAAATGCCAGGCTGGCAAGTCAATGATATTTTTTAACTTTGTTAAATTACATTAATAGGAGTAATTATTAGTATTAATTAAATTTTTAATTAAGTTTCTTAGTAATATTAAGAATTAGAAAACTTAAATTATATACTAACTATTAACTTAAGTGAAGTTAATTTTTTATAAATAATCAATAGATAGTTACAAATATTAAATTAAGTTTATCATTTCACTATTAATACAGACAGGTTAAAAGTTAAGTTAATAAATAATATTCAAATTTAAATGAGTAGCTTTATCATGGAAATAAAATTTTCTTAACTTTGTGTTAGTATTAATTAATTTTATATTTATAAATTTGCTCTAAATTTTAATTTTATCAAAATTTGAATGAGTAAATATAATATTCTATTTACTTAAATAAATAATTATTATGAATTACATAATATTTAATTTGTAGTTGCATAYATTTTTTCTTCACCTCACTTAAATTCCAAAAACATTTTTTTTTTACTTAACTGACCATTATAGACTTGTTTAATATAATATATATGATTTTAATTCACTAATATGTTGGTATAGCTTAAGTCTTTAAAGTTTAAAATTCAGATAGAAGTTTATTCTATAAAATCTTATAGGAAAATCTCAATTTAAATAATTTTCACATTCATTAATTTATAATATTCTGGAACTATTAAAAATATGTTCAAACTAAACCTTCGATTATAAAAATGTGTAGAGATTTTCTATTTTATGCATTTTTAAAATTGATATAATTATTCAAGAGTAATAGTTGTTGTATTAAATATTTAAGACATAGGCATGTGCAGATAAAATATGCTCCTCTCCCACAGATATTAATGAGCATAACATTTCATCTTACACTTTTGGTTACTAATTTGTTCATTTTCTCCCAAGTGTTTGCCCGTAGTGTAACAAAATCATACCTTGCATACTCTGTGCGCACGCCTTTGATTTAAGATATGTAGGTATAAATTAAATTAGGCAATAGCAATAAGAAATATTATTGTTTATAACTAGGTTAAAAAATCAATTATGTAATAAGTAATATTCAAAAACAAATGTACACGATGAGGTACATATAAATGATATCTTTGTCAAAAATTGGTTTAGATAACATTTCCGTACAAATATAAATATTTATTATCTATATTCAAAAGTAACTTGAATCTAATGTACAGAAATAATATTCAGAAACAATAATTTTTATAAATATTTTATGATAGGAAATCGTGCATTGGTATGCAATGCACAGCCACTGTATACCCAGCACAGATTCAAATGAATTAAAATCTGGTCAATTTTGTAACTCAAAGTGCCATAATAGTTTTGTATCGTATGTGATAATCAGGGCCTGAGATTTCCAACACTAAAAAAATATAAAATATGCTTTAAAAAATGGTAAAATATGCATTATAATATGCCAAATAAAAAAATTAAATATGCTCTAAAAAAAATTTAAAAAAAATTATTTTCATTAATTATAATAATATTTATTTATAATCTAATTCTAAAAAATATTCCAGTGTTCTTTTTGTAGACCATTGTAAATATATGATTTTTTCATTCTGCAAACATAATTGGTAAATTTAAATGAATCAGTAAGTAAGTGGGTAAATATAATAAATTATAAATTTTAGTTTATACCTTGAAAATTGCACTGTGGTATTGTGTGTTTGTGAATATTTTCAAATTTGAACGATCTTCTGTTATTGGTCAGAAATGTTTTGTACGTTGAAAATAAGCGTTCGGACGTTGACCGATATGATAGTGGCAAACTTGAAGTACATTAATACTAGAAATATCATCTGGAAATCCATCTAATTCTTTGATGTCTCTTATACCCAATAAAATGCAAGACAATTTTTTCAAAAGTGATAGACCAGTATTTTTTTTCTAAAACTTGTTTTAATTTTAACTGTATTACTATTTTCAATTCAACTAGACCTCGTAGACTTTTAAACGATTTTTCTAAATCATTAATTATTTCAATATAGTCAGATAATAACAACCCCTGTGTTTATCTTTTTAAAGATGTAGTAAGAGATAAAAAATTTGATTTGATGAAAATAAGATCAATGTCTATTCCGTTTTTATTAACATGTTTTTTCGCTTCTTTGATGCTGACTGCATCGTCAGTGTCAAATAATTCAAAAATAGAACGAATTGTTCTTAAATTATTGCAGTAATAATTTGCTGCGTTGATCCAGGTACACCAACGGGTAATTACAGGCTCTGTAGGTAGATTTATTTCAGGGGCTATGAATTCAAAAAGTTGACTTGTAGCTTTTCTAAAAGTCTATATAACGTTAGCTATGACCTTCTCAACTGATTAAAATTCACCTCTTACTTCTTCTGCCACTCTATGGTAACATATGGATCATTTTAGAGTATATGGCTTGAAGTGTTGTAGCTGATTGTACCATGTATGGCGCTGCGTAAGTTAAAAATAGTAACTCGTGATCACTCGCGTCAAATAGCGTGATACTTACCTATAAAAATAGCACAAAAAATGCAAACACCCTGAAATATGCAATACTAAAAACTTTTAAAGCTGCATTCGTTTTAGTATGAAACGGATTATCACAGACAATAAATAAAGTAATATAATGCTATCATATGTGTTATCCTATAATTAATCAAAATAAAACTATTGAAATAGCTATAATTTAATAATAAATAATATTCGTCTTATTCATATCAAATCATTTTTTAGTTGTAACCAGTAGGTACCATACTAAATAATAGATTTAAAAACTATTATAATAGGTAACTAATATTTGAAATATCTATTTCAAGTTTTTTTGTGATTATTTAAGTACTCTTTATTTGATTTATTATGTATATAATATTTAACCTAAAGTGCCTAACAATGTTAACTTATTCCAACTTTGTCCTTAAAAATCAGGCATTATGCACAGTGACCCGATTTCCTACTTTAACATATACACAATTACTAAATTTTATTGACATTTCTATTTTCTGAAATATATATTATTTTTATTTTATTCTAAAACACTTCTAACTCAGTTTTTTAATATCAGTTATTTTTTTTAATAATCTAATAACTGACCAATATCCATTTTTATTTCTTCTTGTAGTAGGTGATCAAACATATTAGTTGTGCATCATGTTTTTGGTTTACATATATCATGACTTATATTATAAATATTAAAATATTGTATGGTAAAATTATTAATATTTAATTTTAATTTTAGCTTTTTCTCAAAGGACGCCCACTATATCTCATATAACACAAAAACCTATAAAAGATATTGGTGGCACTGCAGAGATGACATGTTCAGTTTTATATGCCATGGATTTCCCTGTTTTATGGGTTAAGGTTGACAAAGAAAAAATAACTGAACCTGTAATGCTTTCATCTGGAAGCACACTTATTATAAAGGATTCGAGATTTTCATTAAGACAAGACATTGACAGCACTAGTTACACACTACAGGTATTTAAACATTTATCCAAATTTCAAATACATTTTCACCAAAAATTCAATATACCATATTTGTCTTATATGTGTGTGTGTTAATCAATAATTTAATAACTTAAGTATATGTCTTTTAATTTATTTTGAAAAAATTAAAATTTTTAGATAAAAGATATTCAAGAAACTGATGCTGGTTTCTATCGCTGTCAAGTCTTGCTTGGGTTGAACAACAAAATATCTGCTGATGTAGAATTAGAAGTGCGCAGGCCTCCTATTATTTCTGATAACTCAACTAGATCATTGGTTGTAAATGAGGGTCAACCAGTAAAACTTGAATGTTATGCTGGTGGATTTCCTAGTCCGAGAGTTTCCTGGAGACGTGAAAATAATGCTATTTTACCCACAGGCGGATCCATTTACAGGTACTAATAATAAAAAAATATGTAAATATATACAGTAAATCCTAAAAGTACCAGTTTTTGCATTAATTACAAAAAAAAAAAAATTAAAAAGATCAACTAAGTTGGAGTATTTAGAGAGAGTTAATAGTTAAATGTATGTTCCTAATCACAAATTGGGTGATAAAATCAATTTTTATTGGTAATCTGTATTTTATGACAATCTATTTTTATTTATAGTGAAGCTTTTTAGAAAAATAATCTTAATTATAGTTCAGAAGATATTTTTAATCTTGATTTATCACATTTTTGTTCATAAATGTTTTTTTGAACTATTATGTATTTTGACATACAAAATACCTGTTATCAATAATTTTAATTTTTTTATCATTAAAGATTCACTAGTAATTAGATATTTACAAAAAAATCAGTTTCTTAATCGAGATCCATTTAATCATATAATTAATGTTTTGTTTAGGTAAATATTTACTATTAATTTTAGTAAAAACCAAAGACATTTGCTCTAACTTAGTTGATTTTTATTAAATATTTTCATTTTTTTTTTAACTGTTTTAAAAATTATCATCATCAATATKACTATCTTGAAAATTGAATTGGTTAAAAATATTTTGGAAATTTTTGAAGAAAACAAATTAAATATTATGCTATTTAATCAGAATCTCCATACTAATTACTATAAAAAACACTCGTATTTAAATATTAAATATTGATTTTCCAACAAGATAGGGTGATAGGGGCTTATGGATTTTTGATACTGTTTATAAACAAATAAATTATTAACTTAAATTAAGAAGCATACTTTCCATCTTGTAGAGGTAACATTTTAAAAATTCCGGCCATAACCAAAGAAGATCGTGGAACTTATTACTGTGTAGCAGAAAATGGTGTTGGAAAAGGTGCCAGACGTAATATTGCCATAGAGGTAGAATTCGCTCCTGTTATAACAGTTCCCAAGCCTCGTTTGGGACAAGCTCTACAATATGACATGGATCTAGAATGTCATGTTGAGGCTTATCCTCCACCAGCCATTATATGGATAAATAATGGAATACAACTATCCAACAATCAACATTACAGGTAAACTTGGTTGTTAAGTACTTGAAAACGTTTTTATTGTGATGAAAACATTGATTGCAATTTTTCTTTTCATTTAGAATCTCGCATTTTGCTACTGCAGATGAATTTACTGACACTACAATACGTATTATAACAATTGAAAAACGTCAATATGGTGATTATATTTGCAAAGCATCAAATGTATTAGGAACTGCTGAAGTTACAGTTAATCTTTATGGTAAATATTAGTTTCAGTAATATAATTTTTATAGTTTTCAACTTGCTTTACTTAAGTGTTGTTGGCAAAATGAAAAAAAAAATGTAACATTTCAAACAAATGTTATGGTTATTTTCGCATAAAAACATTTTGAAATGTTTCTCTTATCTAAATTGCTTTGTATTATTTTTCTGAGCATAGAGATTTTAAATTTATTTTTTTAATTACCACATCTGTGTGTGTTGTCTATTATAAAATGTACCTTCAACATTTTAGTGTTAAAAAAAAAAAAAAATTAGAATGAATTGACCTTTAGAACATTTTAAGGTATAACAGTGTAAAATGTTTTATTATAACGTAAAATGTGATGTGTTGTATGTTTTGTAAGACAGAGATAACACATGCATGGTGCTCTCTTAATGGTATTACTAATATTATTGTACATGTTATACATTAATGCATGTAATAGAAACAACTTATAATTGTAGTTTATAATTCTAGTGTATTGTAGTATTTATTATCAAATTATTTTATAATATATTCCTTATAATTTCTATTCTCCATTCATGTAAAGAAGAAACTATAGGCCTATAGGCTAGCTTAAAGGTCTATGGAAGAAACTCTGGCGGTCCATTAATGTGTGATGGAGTAGGCTTAACTACACTGCAGATAATAAACAAGTGTTGCCAGACCTCTGCCGACAAAAACTGGTCGCCGCCTCTGTTTCTTCTTAATATGAATAGAGTAGTCTTTAACGCAATTTTACTCTTATTGTTTGTGAACTTTACAGAAACAATAATTCCAGTATGCCCACCAGCCTGTGGCCAACCATCATCACACTTAAGAAGCTCCAGCATCAAAACTGCTAGTGTTAATGTCTCATTATTGATTGCTACATACCTATWCTTTGTTTACCTTTTAAATTAGTTTTCCGTTCAAGAACAATTCATGAATATAGTGGTGTAGCCAGAAGAGTTGAAAATCTTTGCCAACAGTATCCAATATTTCATTTGTTTAAAACTCCCATTAACTTATTTATGGGTATAATCATAGGTATAAATGTATACATAAACATCACAACTGCTAGTGCCTTTATTTTATACTTAATGGCTGGGTATATATTATATATTTAGATATAAAAATAATCATTCCGTCCGAGAACAAATTATCATAGTGTAAGCACCAATATTATTTTATCACTTAGTTGTTGTCAAATGTCTATATTTTTTTCTCCTTTATTTTTAGATTAATAAATGATCCGTCCATTTAAAATATATATATATATATATATATATTTACTTAATTTTAAAAGTACTATTTTAAGTAACTATTTTCTTAATTGTAATTTTATAATTTTTATAAATAAAAATTGTATTTATATTTTATTTTGGCTAAAGATGTGTTACATCTAATGTGTTTGGTATGACCAATTTGGAAAATCAGGCAATGTTTTCAAATAGTGTTTCTAAACATAACCTTGGTATATACTGATCTACAATTGATAATTGTATAAATTAATCTAAATGCTGTAGACACACAATACAGTGTCGTAACTACGCTCCTTAGCGTCCTCAGTTAATTTTATTTTGGCGCTGATTTTTGTTTTTTATTTTATAAGTATATTTTTAATAATACAACATTCTTACGTATTTATTAAAATAACGCTATATATTAGTGTATAATATATATGTTAATGTAGTAAACACTTATAAACATCATCAAGACGCAATCCAGTATGTAATGTTCATACATTACACATTTACGCTTAATTTTAATAAAACTTAAAATATTATATAAGAAAAAAAAATGTTATAAAAAAAAAAACCAATTTTAACTTAAGTCAAATGCGTCACTTACTCTACTGGCGCCTATGTCACCGACCTCTAGTTATGGCTCTGCACATATGTAGTACATTACATTCATGAAAAGAACTAATTACAAATTAATTTAATGATCCTCTTTAAAATTGGAAATTATAGACTGTATGCAAGTTCTGAACCAACAGAGCGCTGTAGTGACAACTCTCACACTTATTGGAGGTTCAAATAATATTGTTCAGTTAGGCAATTTGATGTTTTTATGAATCTAACTATCAATAGATCTTCCAATCCAATTGATGTCTGTAATTAATAATGTAATATTATACATTTTTAGATTCTAAGTTTCTCTTAAAAATTGTTTACCCTCTAATTGGGTTTTAAATATTTTGATGATCTCAGACAGTATTTTGTAATGATTAGGGCTCGATTTAAATGCCTTTTCAAAAATGAAACTATATTTGTATTATTTTGGAATTTAAATGATCGACGGGTGTCTTAAAGATACATTTCATCCTTGTCTAATTTAAAACCTGATTACGCCTGATGTTAAGTTCAAAATGAAAATAATTTATATTACATAGTACTATAACTATTATGTAAAATGTAAAAAAATGTCCCAAAGTTTTTTATATTATTATTTTATAAGTAATACATTTATACTAGTATTATTCGTTATTATAAATTATAATGTTATTCCTAATACCTAATAATATTTTTAGACAAAAAAGATATCACAATAAGGTACGAATCTTGATGGATTATAAACTTTTGAGTATACTCATCTATACTACTATACTAGCATTATAATACTAACTATTTCTAGTAAACTGTAATAAAATATTTCCCTTGATAAATAATAATCTTTTATTGCTGACTGACCAATTTACCTTCGTCAGTTATCGCTGTACATCCGTCTAGTTCGAATACATCCGTCTAGTTCGTACCTATTGGTTATAACAATGGATTGTTTAATAAAATGTTTTGAAACCAGCCACGGGAAAATAAAATTGGGATACCAAAATTTTTTGTTTGTTTTTCTAAAACCTGTTAAAAATGGTAAACGTTGGGTGTGTGTTCATAAAAACCTATGCAATGGTAGTATTACTACCGACAATGATTTAAAACATGTAATTAATTTCTTCTTTATGACAACCAAAATAATAAGAATAGAATTCTAGTTTTTGCTTMACAGCTATGTTTAAAACCGTTGTCATCATCAAAAGATATATTTATGGATGGCACTTTTGCAACCTGTCCACAAGGTTTCTTTCAAGTATATGTTGTTCATGCTCAAATAGGGGAAAACAATTTACCGATAGTGTACGTATTACTGCAAAAAAAAATTAAGAAACCTATAAAGAAATGCTATTGGTGTTGAAAAAATATTGTTCTTCGGTTAAAGTGATTTCGATTGATTTCGAACAAGCTGTGATAAAAGCAATTGAAGATGTATTTGAAAATGAAGTAACAATCCAATTATGCTATTTTCACTTAAATCAATCTATTTGGAGAAAAGTCCAAGAATTAGGACTAGCCATAAAATACAAAGAAAATAAACAATTCAGACAAGCTGTGAAATTAATAAGCGCATTGGCATTCTTACCTGTGAATATGATTAAAAAAGGTAATAAAATATGAATTATTATTTAATTATTTTTGCTGTGACCACAAATAATTTACTTTACGGACCCGATATGAAATAATTATATACCTATTCCAGATAATTATGTAAGGTCAGGGGCGGATAGGCACACCGGGATACCGGGACTTTCCATGTGCGCCCCCTTCCAATATGCAGTGGTGTAAATTTTTACAAGATGAAATCCATAGGGCTTTTTACATTTAGGACCTTCAATTAATTTTTACTTAGCGTCTAAGCAAATTTGTATTCTGTATGAAATACCTATAACATGTATAATCAAAATAAATTTTTAAGATTTCAAAAACTTAGTTATTGAATTATTTTATATTATTCATCTTTCATCTATATCTAATATCTGTGTAATTGTTTTTAGGTYTCATYGGAAAAAAAGTTTTGGTATCCCTGATTGTATACCATATATAGTAGAATAATTAATGCCGCCCCATAAATATTTTCCCGGTAATTTTTTTTTTGCCTATCCGCCTCTGTGTAAGGTATCTAGATTATTTTAGACATAGCCACTATAATACATAATTTTGGTAACATTTGTAATATGAAACTACAATAAAATATATGTTATCGATACCTATCGAATCTATATCCAATCGGTAGGTACCTATCGATAGGCAACTACGAGAGTAAACAAAAAAGTAATGAAAAACAAATGTGATAATCACATATTAATTATAAAAGGAAAAAAAATTAAACAACAAACAACGAAATTAAATAGAAAGAAAAAATGATATATCTGGGATCTATAATAATAATAAAAAAATCAGAATTATATAGTCTCGGATCCTGCAATTGAGTATAGCTCGGTATATTTTATTGCACCAGATATAATTAAACACAGAAGTGTAAATATTTAAAAATAATTAGATTTCTAAAAAGAGTTATTTTAGCAAAATTGTGTTTAATGGAATGGATTATATGAATATTAAATATTCTAACTTAAAACCATGTTATGTTGTAACGCGATAGAATTTGTTATTTCTTTCAGATAGTTTAATAATTATAATGTTTCAGTTTCATATTTTTTTCTTAGGAAAGATTTTTAAAGTTAAATAACAATAAACATCACGTGCTAATAAAAAAAAAAAAATAATAACAATTATTATAATAATTTGTAAAATAAAAATAAAAATGTCAGGGATTCGAATGTTAATAAACAAACGTGTTTTTAAATGTAATATAATAAACGCAAATAGTAAATATTAAAATATTATATTACGAAAATATTTAAGCTATGTTAACAAAAAACAACTTCTCATAAAATAAAAACATCTCAAATTCACCAAGTCTAAATTATTCGAAAGTAAAATTATTTCTATTCATCATAAAAAAAAATTTAAACGTAACAACAATTCTAATTAATTGTTTGAAGTTCCAAAATGTATTTTATATGATGAGGAAAAATAGACATTTGAAGAACGACACATAAATAAGATTTTTAAGGAGACGAGTGGTGAACTTGTAATGTTTTTGGTAAAAGTTGTGATGTGTGTTATTTTTTTAATCACAATATTTTGATTATCTGTGAGTTATGGTATAGTTGTACWTGTAGAAGTTGCAGAATAAAATACGATCTACAGTAATAACTACTGTCAATATTTTTTTCAAATTATTTTATAACCTAGGTACAGTTATAGTTATGAAACTTGAAATTTATTGCATTGATAATAAAAATAATAAACCCAAACAAATTAAAAAAATAAAATAAATCTTTAGTTCTAACGTGTCACTTTAGAACAATAAAATCAAGATATAATAATAATAATAATATAAGTCTTTAATAAACAATATARMATATTTCAACATGAGAATATCTTCAATGTTACGTGGCTCCATTTACATAATATTATGTTGTATTTTCACTAAAAAAAATACGAAACTATAACAAGAGTAAAATAATTGTACCAAAAATACAATATTTTTGTGATAGTAAAGTATACAACMCAGTACAACACTTTACAGTGTAATATATATTAGAGAGTAAAGTCGTACAAGTATTATTGATATTTCAGGTTTTTGGTTATACCTATAATAAGTATAATATTATATAATCGGYATTTATTGGAAATTGATAGACATGGTATAGATGTTATGAAACATTTTAAGCCTGAAATCAATTTTGATTTACTAAAAATTATTARTGGGAATCTAAAATCTATTTTACAAAAAATTTAGATAGTTTTATGATTTTGTACCCGATCTACAAAATTAATCACCTAACCTAACGTAACTAATTAGTATTTCACTTAGCGAAATAAAAATTGTATGCATTAAAATACACCAAAATAATGAAATTTAATTATAAATATTAAACAACTACAACCTATATTATATCGAAGAGTAACTTAAATTATTAAAATCATTATAAATATGAATTTAAAACCATAATGCTCCAATAAATGTAAGAACTAAATATTTAAATATAGTTTACAAAAAAAAAATATCATAACACTTGAWGTGTATAATTTATAAATCGTATTGTTATAATTGAGGTTGATTTTGCTTATACATTAGGTATAGATGATACATTTAAGTACCTATTTAACTATAGGTATGAGTTAGAAATTATAACTTAWTGTTATGATTATTTACCTTGAGGTATTATAAGTAATCATTTTTTTTGTTGAAACTATTTTATTATGTTATACTTATATAGGTATTACATTTTGTTACATTTTGATAACAATCGACTTTTCATCTAGTCACCCRCTACTACCTACTTGAGAGCAAATGCATTTTCGTTATGATACTATTTGCTAAGAGCAATAATTTCGTTTTCACCG